TCATTTGTTGATCCGTTAGAAAGTCAGAAGTTGAAGCACTTTGCTTTTTCTCCTTGACATTGTCCCGATCATCATGTTCTGATGAAGAAGAATTACTACTACTACTAGGTGTGGCAGATCTTTTTCTGGTAGGTGGTGGAGGTTTTCTTTCCTTTGGTATTTCATTTGCATCACTTTGTTTTCTCCACCCCCTGGAAGAGCTCTGAGATGTTGACGACCTAACGGTGTGGCGACTTTCATCCTCATCATCGTCACGAGGTTTTTGAAAACCCGGCAAGCCAGTACCAGTGATTTTCCAATACGGGTTCAATTCTCTAGTGCTTTTTGCCGGATCATACGTATCAATCTGCTGTTTCTCCTGGGGTTTATTTGGACGTTCGCGTGAATATGTCTTAAACATTAAGGCATCTGTCATCCAACTGTCTCTTTGCACCGGAACCTCAGGCTTGGGAGCCTCTGACCACCTTTCTTCACCATCTTCATCGCTGCTTTCGCTACTGCTGCTTTCTTCCTGCTTCTTATGCTTAACCTTTTTCTTCTTTCTTTTACTCTTTTTTGAGGATTTTTTCGATTTTTTATTTCTTTTATCTTCTTCAGAAGATGAAGAAGACTCAGATGTGCTACTTTCAGTTGAAGACGTATCTTCATCGCTACTCTCCTCACTGTCCTCCTCAGAACTAGATTGATGTCTATGTTTCTTCTTGGTTTTCTTTTTTGTTTTTGCACTTTTCTTTTTGTCTTTCTTCTTTTTGAGTTTCTTGAGCTCTTTTTCCTTTTTCTTAAGCTTCTTTTCCACTGCAGGATGCATCCAATTGACCTCACCTTTCAGTTGTTTACTAGCTTCTCGTTCAGCCCTTTGAACTGCCCGCTTTTTGGCATCTTCCAACAATGCCTCTCGTGCCGACCGCAATTCGGCGCGGGCTTTATCTTTTTCGCGGGCACTCTCGAATTGTATGTAACTCATTTTAGAGACCTTTCCTTGTGTTCTACCACCGGTTCGGCTTTAGGCTCTTCCAGATGGACGTCACACCAGCCACTAGTTTGTTGATTACAAAGTCTCGAGTAGTCCAACCGACGCCGACGACAAGTCCAACACTGTAATATGGCAACGCTGAAACGAAAGACAACACAAAAAGAAATCTGAATAAACGTGTGGAATCAAAACAGAAAGGGACAACAATAATAGTGTTCCCTAGATCGAAAAAAGCACACTATATATAATTAAGGTATGTCAAATAAGCAAATATGTCAAAATTGTAGTTTTTTGTGAAGTTAGCGATATTTTTGACAGCCAGCAACAAGTTTAGGATTCTAACAAAAAGCGGACAAGTTACGTTTTGACAAATCAAATTAACGCTTGCAAGTTTATGCAGGGACTCCGTCGGTTTAGGTTTCACAGTTTTCTTGCAAAAGAGAATAAAGCTACGTTACTCTGTTAGAAGAAGCTGCTGGACAAGTGTGCCCGACTTTTGCCAATTGTTTGTATGTATTTATTGTTTTGAAAAAAAAAATTGCGAGACGCGCATTAAAGCTATTCGCCAGTATTGCCATGGAATTGAAGATAGAACTGTTTAGATCATATTTCTTAAAGAAAATCTTTCTTTCTTTCATTTTTCCCGCTGTTTAACTGATTTTAAAAATAAGGTAAAATATTGAATAAATGAAAACAAATTGTGGCATGAAAATTTGACTGGAAGCGGGCATAGCCTCAGTGCTGTATTTTTGTAGTTTTACGAAGCTGTTCTTTTCTCTTTGTAATTGGAAACTATTACAATTGGGCCAATTTTAAAAAATGTCAATATTTACAACGTTTTTGTTTAATAGACTCCAAATATGGACCTGGTGTATTTGGGTAATACGGACGTATAAAACATTCTACCAAAGCGGGTTTGTTATGGTATTGGTATATATGGTATGATCCAGACCCTGCATGCTACTTTTGCAAATTTTTCGACATCATAAAGGAAACATCGGTTATCGGACAAACAACAAAGGAAAATATTACAAATATTACATAAAAAATATTGTAAAATACATGAAATTCTATACAGAGATTTACTCCCTTTTCTTCTTTTCCCAATAAATTTGGTTTTATATCGATAATATATTTTTTAAATAAATTCTTTTGTACTGTACTCTTTTCCACTAACGGTCAATAATCTATCAAATTTCTAAACACTTCCCAACAAAAACCCGCTCAGCTGTTTGAAGTGTCAAACATTAACTGCGACCAACTTAACTCAACATGTCCTTTCTTCCGGTTCTCTCTGTCAAGCAAGGTATGAATTGCCGAGAAATTTTATAAAATTTATAAAAAAAATCACATTGTATGCGCAAAAAATGTAAAAAATGATTGAAATTGAAAATAATAGTGGTAAACAAATGCATTTTTATTAAGTGAGACATTTTATGTCATATATAAATGAGAAATGACTGGGAAAAAGAAAACAGAAAGATCCACATGTGACAAAAACAACATTTTGTTGCTGTATACAATGTTAATTATGTGAGGTGTGGTGTGTGTGCAACGTAACTAATGAACAAATTTTTGTCTTCTAGATGCCCGGCGTTACTGTAAAAGATATTGATCAACACGCTTGCGTCAAGGCTGTTGCCAGCTTCTTGAAGAAGTAAGTTTTTCTCACATAATGTTATTGCTTGTTGTGTATTAATTGTATCTGTTTCTTATGCTAGGACTGGTAAACTAAAGGTCCCCGACCAAATGGACATCATCAAGACAGCCAAATACAAGGAATTGGCTCCTTACGATCCCGACTGGTTCTATATCCGTTGTGCTTCGATTTTGCGTCATTTGTACCACCGCAGCCCAGCTGGTGTTGGTTCCATCACCAAGATCTACGGTGGCCGCAAACGTAACGGTGTCCACCCCTCTCACTTCTGCCGTGCTGCTGATGGTGCTGCCCGTAAAGCTTTGCAAGCCTTGGAACACGCCCGCCTTATCGAAAAGCACCCCGATGGTGGCCGTAAATTGACCCCAATTGGCCAACGTGATTTGGATCGCATTGCCAATCAAATCGTCACCAAGCAACGTGAAGCTACCAAAGTAGCTGGCCCAATTGTCATTTCTGAAAACTAAAGTTGACAAGAGAAATAAAAAATAGTTGATACTTTTTTTTTAAACTAAATTTTGCAAGCAAAAAGTGAATTTATTTCAAGTGGAGAAGTGCTTTTGTCCTGATTGAATGCGTATATGAGCATATTCTGGATTTAAGGTTCAAGTAAAGCTATAGATTTTAAAAAGCCAAGATTGTGTACTGACTTTGGCATCAACATTAAGTTTTACCAGAAATTGGAGATCGTTTCGCAAAATATATCATCAAAGTGTGATCAACAAATAAAAATTTAAGTGTGAACAGCTTTTCCTAGCTGTTCTTATCAGACTTTGGTACAATCCTAGATTAGCTAACATGCCCTGATTTCATTGAAACTTTACCATCCGTAACAAACATTTTGTAGCTACATATTAACTTCGAATATAGAGAACAGGTTTTAAAAACAAGAATCGGCTGTAACAATTAGCATTAAACAAAGACTTAATTTACTAGCATCGATGAAGCATGCTATTGATTTTTGATCATTTGATACTTCTAGTCCCGTTGAATAGCTTTTGATTAAGTACTACTTAAGCCGGCAAAGTCCTAGAACCAACTTCTCGCATGGATATTAAACAAATTTCAAAAGAAATGAATTTGTGTATGGGCATTTAAGGGTGAAACCACTGGAACCTATTTCCGAAAATTGGTCAAACTAAAAATCATAGCTTAAAATTCATTTCAAACTGAATTTGGAAGTCAGCCATATACTCGCATATCACTTGCTGCTATTAATACTGTTTCGAATGTCTCTGTTACAGAGCGAGTAGTGTCCAATTTATATCAGCTCGGGAACTAGCAAATCTGACTCAGCTATATATGGAAGTTATATCGAAATCTGAACCGATCTCGATACATTTTGGGAAAGATATTTCTGTGCTGTATTTGATATATTCCCCCAAATATCGTTGTTATAGAGTGCATATTACGGCTGCGGAGGCCAAAAATAACAAATCAGATGAACATTATATACGGGAGCTATAGCTATATCTGAACCGATTTCGATCAAATTTGGCATACTTATTACCATGCTTAATTTGGTTGTATATGCGAAGTTCTATACCATTTGGGCCGATATTACACGTTTGGTGCACAATAAAATGCAAATCGGACGAAGATATATGTGGGAGCTATATCTAAAAAAATTAAATAGGGTTCGTCATTGGGTCAAATAAGAGACTTGTGCGAAATTTTATCTGGATCGGTCAATAAATGCCACCTGTACTTCGTTTACAAAAATACTTGGCAGACAGACGTGATAAATCGACTCAGAATATGATTCTATACAGACCATCAAAAGGAACTATGGGTCTATCTCGTTTCCTTATGCCTGTTACAAATTAATGCACAAAGACATAATACCCTGAGCACTTTTTGGTGGAGGGTATAAGGATTGCCTAACTTCTGGAAGTCGCCAGTGAGAGTTATGAATCCGGATTTTTTGGAGGTTTTCATTGTATATACTTAGAATTTCGATATATATTTTTTTTGTTTAAAAGAACAATGCTTGTGTTTCAAACTCTTTGGACCTTCAAATCCAAATAGAGAATTCATATAGCCCAAGTATAGTGGACTTTAAAAACTAAATTACCTAAATGGTTTTGTCGGCAGTAATTTTCATTCTCCGGCAGATTTTTTACACGAAAAAAAAAACAAATGTATTGTGTTTTATATATTTTATTCTTAAATATTACTCCTTATACAAAAATTCTCTATTGAGCCTATACAATAAGTCCTTACGAACTTATCGACAGTAGTGCTTTTGAACTTATAATTATTTCTTATACAAAATTTCTTTATTGAGCCTATGCAATATGTCCGAAAACTTATTACATTCTTAATCTAAACTTACAAACTATCTCTTACACAAAATTTCTCTATTGAGCCTATGCAAGAAGTTGAACAAAAAAACACTGTGTGGCAAAAGTGCACGAATAAAATTACAAATTGCCATTTATCTTCAAATTAAACCTTCTTGCAATCATAAAAGGGTGTTCTCAAAAACGAATCCCATTCCTAAAAAAGCACTAACATTGCAGATTGGTATGTTTCTTAGCTGAAATAGTTTTATTTTATGATATCAAAAATACACATACCATATAGGGTATAACTTATTCTAAATAATCTGCTTTGTAGTGCCCAAAAGTCGCTCTAGACCCGGTCCAGGGCCTCGACCATAACAATGCTGTTGCCACGAATAACAACCATACCAATGTTGTTGCGGGTACTGTCTTTGCACTCCTCCACTGTCTCGTCGAGCACCACATTCATGAAAGGATCAAATCCACGCAGTATTCCAGCTACGGAACGGCCACCGTTCAGCTTAAGCAACATGCGTTTGTCCATGTACCTGAAAAAATTAATTGTGGAAATTAATATGACGGCAAGTAACAAAATTGCACACATGCATGTAATTGAGAAATATGTTTTAAACTATCACAATATATGCACAATAGTACTATCTATAATCAAATAATTACTTTTTAAGTTCTGGGGGATGTGCTTTCGACATATTTTAGCGTTTCTTCAGAAAAAAAACTAAACGTATAATCTCGAGAAGAAAGAATCAAGCCGCAAAAAATATTTTTGGCGTGTGTTGCAGAGTTGCAATTTTAAGTAGTGCGTTGCCAACTCATTTTGCACAGATGCATTTATCGAAAGTTGACTATTGGGTGGTGTACACATTATCGATCATGGAGGTGGTAACGTAGCAAATGCTCCATTCCATGACTTCAAAATCTGAAACTTTTTACTATGATAAATGATTTTTCCTTTATGATATCGAAAAAAAAAAATTAAAAAAAAACTAGTAGATTCTTGATAACAGAGCAAAAATATATGGGTAAGTAAACCACGACGAGTCCATGGTTGAATTAAGAAGGTCAAGTCATGTACATATTGTAAAATTAAGAAGGTTAAGCCATATTTACATATTTTTCAAAATTTTTCATTTGACATTTCATTGTCAAAATTTATATTTACTAATCCATTGTATATACAGGGAAATTTGACAAGGTAAAACAAAGAAAATGCTTATTTGAAATGATTTTACTTTTTTAATTTTAACATGCATGCACTGATACGTTTAAATTTTTTTTCAAAATTATTCATTTGACAACATCATATTCTCAAAATGTATATTTATAAATTAATTGTACATATACAAATCAGAGATGGGAACCAGTTTTTTTATGCAGTGAAATTTGACAAGGTAAATTAAAGAAAATACAAAGATGGATATGCTTGTTTGAAATGACTTTACCTTTTTAACTCCACAACAAAAAGGTATTGCAGACCTATCAGCTGATTATACATTTTTTTCTGAGAGTGGCCGATTTCTGTCAAAAGTGTTTTGGTATATTTTGTATCTAAATTTTATTTCAGTTCCTGGATTATAAGACCCATATGTCTGGATTCAGGAAGGATAAAAACACATATTGTTGCATTTTGGAAAGGTAATAATTTGGCATATAATATTTCGTAGATTCCGAAAATGGATCCAGATTCTTCAGATTTGACCAACCAACACCACACAGACACACACATGCAGGCTTCACATGCTTCAATCAAAACGATGGTTGGATGATAAGTACATACTTCTTTATACGCTTTACTTGGACGTTCCCAGCGTATATCGACATTGTTTTTGACATTTTGTGACGTTTGGTTTGTTATCAAATGGCACACAAACACAATTCCAGTTTCGCTTGAAGATTTAGTAGGAAGAAGAAGAAGACATTTTTTGTAGTTTTTTTTTCGCAAAATAGTCATTTTAATTACCTGTAATTTATAGTTTTATATCTTTTATTTTCGTGTCAAAGATAATTTTGTGACGTGCGTGTGAATATGTTTTCCAAGAAAAAGAAGAAACCTTTGATTTCTATGCCCAGTAATTTTGAGCATCGAGTACACACGGGATTCGACAAACGCCAACAAAAATATGTGGGTCTTCCAATGCAATGGGCGAGCATAGTGGGTAATAACCAAATACTGAAATCAACAAATAGACCGTTGCCTTTGGTCGATCCGTCCGAGATAACACCGACTGAAATATTGGATTTAAAGACCATTGTTCGACCGCATCATAACAACAATAAAGCTGATACAACATCCCTGAATAGTAGCATAGCTACACAGCCTGTTGGTGTTGGTGGAGCAGGGGGTGTTATTGGCCAGCATGTTCATGCGATGGCTGCGGATAATGGTTCTGCCACGGTTGGAGGTGGTATTGTTTTGCCAAAGACCTCACATGTGGCACGATCAAATTCATTGCGTAGTTCAAGTCCGCCCAGGATTCGAAGGGATTTGAGAGGAAATGCAAATGTGCCACCTGCTGTTCCCGAAGAACGGGAATCGCTTTCGAGTAGCAGTGGTGCAATAAATGCTTTATCGGGAGGTCCAGCTGTAAATATGGCCGCATATAAACTGCAGCAGGCACCTGGGACACAGACGACAGGTTCAGCGGCCGCGGGAATGTACGTTGGACAGCAGACAGTTGTTAACGGCGGTGGTCCATTGGCTGTTCGTACGGATATGGGTACCCAGCCTGGAGCTGGCTCTGTGCAATACCGACCCGGAGCCCCGCATATGCATGTGCAACAGATATCGCCTGTTGGTTCAATAGCCAGTAATACTCGTTCGACACATTCTCACATTTCATCGCATTCCCATGGACACCATATGAACAATAATTCCGCAATTACCACAAACAATTTACCAATGTATCCCACACCTCAAGGACAAATGCTGCATCATGGTCCACCAACTTTGCCACCCCATGGCGTCCATCATCAGCCGCAACAGCAGCAGCAGCAGCAGCATTTAACACATCAACAACAGGCTGGCAAACAAATTAGTAATAACCTAGTAACATCCGATCAAAATCAGAATCCTCATCAAATGCATTTGCATGGAAAAACAGCATCGCGAGCTTCCAGTTCCAGTGGCGGAACAGTTGGTGTTGGTGCTACCAGTGCAACGGGTGGTAGTACAGCAACGGCAGCACCACCAAAGCAGGAGCCACGTTTGACACATGAACAGGTAATGAGCAAAAATTGTAGGAGTTTTTTTTGGGGTTGGAAAATATTGAAGGATATCGAACATTTATATCCATTTTTATGCGAAATCATAAGTTCCGATAAATTACATATTCATAGCAGAATTCTTGTTAAGAGAAATATTTAGATATAGCAAGTTGTAAAGAATTCGCAAGTTATGACCGATATAAGTATTGGAAATTGTGACTCTTTGTGGGTGAGGTACCAGAAGAGCTTGGCAGATGTATATCATCTTTACAGCAGATCTTGCGTTAGCAAAAATATTTGGATATGTGAAATTTGAAGAGAGTTGGATGCTTATATCGCCCTCTTTCAGCGTTCTTTGTAGATTTTTTAATCCTATATGGGGGAGGTACCAAAAGAAATGGTCCGATCTGTATCATATTTGTAACATATCTTGTGTTGATGGAAATATTGAGATGTACCATGTCTGAATGGAATCGGATGTTAATTTCGCGTTTTATGAGCTTCGTGGATGCTCAACATTTTGACCCTTTGTGGGGGAGGTACAAGAAGGAGTGGACCGATATATTCCATCTTCACACCAGACCTTCTTGGGCTAATAGAAATATGGTTATGTGTGTAAATTGAAGAGAACCAGATGCTTATTTCGGATTTTATGAACGTTTTGGTTATTGAAATCTTTGACCCTTTGTTGAAAGTTATCGTGCGCATCACCCAGACGGATAGAGGGATGGACGAATATCCTGAAACGGATATGGTCCAAAGAGACCTAGGGTCTAAAAAAGTTTTGGCCGTATTAAATTATATATACCATCTGAGGGTATAAAAAACCTTATACGATCATCACGGGTTTTTAAGGCCTGAAACTCCTTTACAAACTATCTAAAAAGTCTGAAGATAATTTCCTTTCATGTCACCATTCTTAAGGGCATAATTTTGAGTCTCCTAATCATTTCTAAATGTTTATTATATTATTGTTTTTCTAGTTCCGGTCGGCTCTTCAAATGGTTGTTTCTGCCGGCGATCCACGTGAAAATCTCGACAATTTCATGAAAATCGGTGAAGGTTCAACGGGCACCGTTTGCATTGCCACAGACAAGTCGACAGGTAAGTCGTCTTTATTTCTTTGCTATTGTTTCATATTTTGCAAAAATTTTGTGTTTTAAACTTTCCCCTTCATTTAATGCCAAACAATAAACAGGTCGCCAGGTAGCTGTCAAGAAAATGGATTTACGCAAACAGCAACGTCGTGAGTTATTGTTTAATGAGGTTGTAATTATGCGTGACTATCATCATCCCAATATTGTTGAGACATACTCAAGTTTTCTGGTCAACGATGAGCTCTGGGTGGTAATGGAATATTTAGAAGGTGGTGCTCTAACCGATATTGTCACACATTCTCGCATGGATGAGGAACAAATAGCAACGGTGTGCAAACAATGCTTAAAGGCATTAGCCTATTTACATTCACAGGTGCGTGACAAGAATTTTTTGTTTTTGGTTTGGTTTGAAAGTTGATCTATGTTTGTTTTTCTTTTTTGTTTATTGTGCGTTGCATATGCAAGAGTGTGCGTCTGTGTGTGTTTGTGTTACGACATTGTAAATGATTGCAGCGTTTAGTCGGCAGTTGTAATCGTATTTTATTTTCTATTACTATGTTTTAATTGTTTTCTTTATAAGGGACCATCTTGACCATAAACGGGTGTGGTTAAAGTTTTATCACCAGAAATACCCATAAAAAGTAAGCGGCATTGCATTACAGCAAAATGACAAGCAAATCTGCAATTAATTTGTAATAGACTGTTGACCGTGCACGAATGTACGTACAGATTGCCGGTTTCATGTTTAAGTGTTTAAATCGAGGAAAACGTTTTTTTTTTAAACTGAACCCATCATTGATGACATTTACTTTGTTCATATCAAAGGATTTTAAATTTATCTGCAATGAACAGCTGAGATAAGACTCACTCACTGAACGTGAAGGTCGATGGTGTTTTATTTTCCACCATCAATTACCCCAGGGTCACATTTGTTAGCGTCTTCAAGTCGTCCGTGATTACCACAGCTATCTCCGACAAGATTAGACGTAGGAACAACGTGCTCGAGCTGATAAGAAAATCTTGTTGGCCTCTTACAACGCGATAGACCAGTCTGTTGTAAACTTTACATGTCCGGCGTGGTCTCTAATGCCCCTTAAAGTAATACCCTTTTGAAAATCCCAGATTTCCCTTATCAATTTGGGATAATCATAGGATAATCCTTGAAATACCATTAATTCTGATAGATCTCCAGGTGCCGGCATGATGGTGACAAACACTAGTTTATAGTGAACGAGACGGCGCTAGAGCTTTTAATAGATTCTTACATCAACATTTTACTGCGATTTCAGGCAGTGGGTTAGAACTTCCCAAGCAAACACTCACGCTACGGGGCACACTACGTTCTGCTGGTGGCAATGAATTTAATTCCTATGGAAAACGCCTTAGATTTCCCTTTTTTCATTGTCCATCCAGTCTACACAATTGAGCTGAACATATCGCAATACTTCATTCGACAAATATTGAAAAATGAGCTCGGGGTAAAGCCATTGAGCTTCCAAAAAGTGCAAGAACTTACACAGAAAGAAAATAGCCTCAAAGGGCTAAAGAGTCGCTTGGCCGAAAGTGGTGAACTGCCGAATTTGGTTTTCTCCACCTTCGGTTGGCCACCAGAACTCAAGCGCCGGCCATGATGATGGTGTGGGCCGCCATAACAGCCGATGGTCGCTCTCCGCTCGTATTAATCGACCGTGGCATCAGAATAAATGCCGAATATTATCACGAAAATATTCTGGAGGGTGTATTAAAGCTTTGGGCACGCAAACATTTTGGCCGCAGACCTTGGACTTTTCAACAGCACTCAGTAGGCGCCACCCAAAATGAGGTTCCTCGCTTCATTTCCAGCGCACAATGGCCACCAAAATCTTTGGATACCAATCCGTTGGACTATTGTGTCTCGGGTATTTTGGAAAGCAAGGTTGGCACTAAAAAATACCAAAGTGTCGAACACCTCAAGCAAGCGCTTCACCGGAAATGGGCCAAAATACCGCAGAGCAACATTTGTTGGGCAGCGTGTGACGGTTCCTTTGGCCGTTTGAAGGTCATAATTCGTGTTAAAGGTGACCAATTCGAACAAATCTAAACTTATTTTAAAATTTGATGCTATTTCCGACATTTTTTGCTTTCCTTCAATAAAATTTAAAAAAAATGTAAAAATTATGGGGTTAGACTTTTTTGCAGTTTTTTTTATCTCACCCTGAATATTTTTAGACTCAAAATTGTTAAGTTTCGACCACAAAAAATTTTGACCTTGCTCATTACCATAGCAAAATATTCATCAGATAGTTTTTTCCATTTCATATTTTCTCTTTATATTTTAAAGCATTTTTGAACCTTTTTAAACTTTTAGTCATAAAAACAATAAATTTATTTAATAAATTCCAATTTTCAAATATTTTTCCCCCCAGGGTGTAATACATCGTGACATAAAATCCGACTCAATTCTCTTGGCAGCTGACGGGCGTGTTAAATTATCTGATTTCGGTTTCTGTGCTCAAGTCTCACAGGAATTGCCAAAACGAAAATCTTTGGTGGGTACACCGTATTGGATGTCACCGGAAGTTATATCGCGCTTGCCCTATGGACCTGAGGTTGATATCTGGTCACTGGGCATAATGGTTATCGAAATGGTAGATGGAGAACCGCCATTCTTTAATGAACCACCATTGCAAGCAATGCGTCGCATACGTGATATGCAACCACCAAATTTGAAGAATGCCCACAAGGTTTCGCCACGTCTTCAATCGTTTTTGGATCGTATGCTGGTGCGTGATCCGGCCCAAAGAGCAACGGCAGCTGAGTTGTTGGCCCATCCCTTCTTAAGGCAGGCGGGACCACCGTCTCTGTTGGTACCATTGATGCGTAATTCACGGCAGCATTAAATTAAGTTTTAGAGTTTCGCTGGGAATTTTAAAATTTCTACATGGATACTTAATATGGCCAATTTGGGCAAAAAAACCACATTCCCCCCACACCCCTCTCCACAGATTCTTACAAAAAAGTATTGTTATTTTACCCGAAATGTATTTATATTGGCAGTACTACTAACTATTTTTTTTCATTATTCAATGTTATAACATTTTGTTTATTTTAAAAAAATATATATACTTTTTTTTAATTTATGATTTTATATGGCATTTATATGTTTAGTTTTTTTATTATTATTTTATATAAGTATGTGTATTTTAATTTTATTATTACATATTTTAAGTGCCGTTTAAATACAAAAAAAGGAAGCAAGTATGAAATTGAAAATACAGTCAAAACTTAAAGCCAATCACCCTACCCATATTTATATACATATATATTATACATGTAACTAATTTCCAGTAAATGGCAACAATAAGCAAGCTATATTATAGGAATTAAAATTATATATACATTAAATTAAAAAAAATGACGAAGTGCCTTTATATTAGTGACACTTTTTTATTAACATCCAAGGCTCATATCAACAACGAAATATTCGTAAAAAACACACACACTCATTTAAAGTTTATTCATTTCATATTTTTGTAGTCCCAAAATCGAAAGAAAAACATTCCTCGAATAAACGAATTTCTGTTTTTTTTATTAAATAAACTAAAAATCTATACATGTCTTTTATAAAATAAAACATTAAAAAAGAAAAATTAATAAAACATTCCCAATGAAATGCAAAACAATGCCTTTTATAACAAAAAAAAATAAATAAATAAATAAAAAAGAAAAACACTATTGGCTTTAAAACGTGTTACCACTTGTTTAACGTTAACAACCAAGCTCTGTCGAAATGAGAACAAAAAAAAAAAAAAAAACAAAATAAATTCCATTTTATGTATTTTTATGTACATCATGTTTATTTCTTGCTTAAGAATAAAAAATATTGTCTATATATTATAAAGAAATAAATAAAATTTTAAGAATATTATCTGGTATTGATGTTTTTTTTTTTTAATTGCGACCACTCAGCAGCGTTTGGGTATGTACTGAGGGTGATTTGTGTTTTGCGTAGACTTAAGTAGGACACCGATGGTATGACTCTAGGTGGATCCTAGGAAGTCCATTCGGCCCCATTGCCGTTGTCGTCGACGTCGCAAAATGAAGTCGAGGCGACAATAACGGTGTTAGGGTTGTCGTTTTTTGTCGATAGCGATGAATGGTTGCTATTATCATTGTCGACGTGAAGTCGTTTTTAGAGAATATCTGTGGCCGTAAAAAATTGAATTTTTTGGACGATGTTGATATTTTAATCATTTTGTATTGGACCATGAAAATAACCACAGCAAAACAATTTGGAAATATTGAAAAGATTTCCGACAGAGGTCTACAAAGATCCTAGCGCTAAAAACCACAATGCTGCGACTAATTGGAACAACTCTAGTTTGGTAAAAACTTTTCGATGTTTGTCGACATTTTTTTCAGAGGTAGTTTTTTTTACCCTGAATCCGGGAAACTATTTTTTTCTTTGGAGAGGGACCCACGACCTCCGTGAATCGCAAGTCAAGGGTTCAAGACCCAAATCCACTTGCCCAATATAGACTGAAGGCCGGTTACTTACAGCAACCATTAGACTTAGAAAACTGTAGTTCGCGTAGCCGGTTGAACATACCTAGAAGAGAATATCTCTGGACCCAGTAAAGGTATTAGCGACAACCGTGGTTGGACCGATTGTGTAAAACCTAGGAAGAACTGAAAAATCTTGAGTTAGGAGAGATATACAAGCGAGAAGGAAAGGAAAAAAATGTATAGATGGAGGTGTGGGTAGAAGGGTTGTCTGGCTAGCAAGTTAATTGCTTTGGTAAACTTGTAAATTATGATGGGATATATGTCTGTACTACAATGTGCCAAATAGCCCATGTCTCTTGGTGATAATGTTGAGACATGTGCAAAGTACAGGGTGAGATAAAAAAAACTGCAACAAAGTCAAACGCCATAATTTTTAATTTTATTGATTGAAAGCAAAAAATGTCAGAAATACCATCAAATTTTCGAATAAGTTTCAAACGGCCAATGAAACCGTCACACGCTGTCCGCATATTGCTCTGCGGTATTGTGAGCCATTCCCGGCGAAGCGCTTGCTTGAGGTAATCGACACTTTGGTATTTTTTAGTGCCAACCTTGCATTCCAAAATACTCCATCCAGACAACAGTCCAACGGATTGGTATCCAGAGATTTTGGTGGCCTTTGTGAGCTGGAAATAAAGCAAGGAACCTCATTTTGTAACCATTCTTGGATGGTGCGTGCTGAGTCTTCTTGGAATGTCCAAGGTCTGCGGCCAAAATGTTTGCGTGCCCAAGGCACGGCATTTATTCTGATGCCACGGTCGATTAATATAAGCGGAGAGCGACCATCGGTCGGCCCACACCATCACCATGGCCGGCGCTTGAGTTCTCGTGGCCAACCGAAGGTGCACGTTTTCAGCTGACCTCATTTTGTTTGTTTACAAACTGCTGGACAACGAGCGTTTTCTCCGATCGAAGAAAACCAAATTCGGCGGTTCACTACTTTCGGCCAAGCGAAGCAATTCTTAAGCTCTTTTGAGTCTATTTTCTTTCTGTCGCGGTGTAAATTCTTGCACTTTTTGGAATTTCAATGGCTCGGGCTTATTTTTCAATATTTGCGGAATGGAATATGGCTGAGGGTATAAAAAGACGAATTTTCGAAAAAGTTCTAAAATGTTTTTTTTTTAACAACACTTTTCAAAATATCCTTAAAATTCACTTTCTCAATAGGAAAAATCCATAAAATTGTTTTTCTTTTTTCAAAAATCCTGCAGGTATAGTAATTTTAAAGTAAATACATTTTTATGTAAAAAAACTTATTTTATTAAAATTATACTTAACATAAAAACATTAACAAACACCCACACACAAATTAATTCCTTAACACCTCCCTAAACTTATTTCTGCTTAGCCAATCGAATGTTTTGTTGAAGTTTTTGCAAACAGCCACGTATTCGATTATCTTCGCCAGCGCCTCGCTTTTGTTCAACAATTTGGATTTCCTCCATTAGAAAGGGTAAAATATCTTCGACAACTTCGTAGGATATTGAGCATAGCTTTGTCAGCAATTCAAAATAGAAAAAGGTATAATACGATAGATGTTTCTTGGTTAACAGGCGCAGATGTTCCCTTATCAAATCCTTGAGAGCTATTGACTTTTGATAAACAGGACTGTTGAAAATCCTCTTGAACAGCTCCAAAAGCAATGGACGACTGGGTACAATTTCATCTACCATCATAATGTGTTCCAATGTGGCAAAACTGCAACCCTTGAGAAAGGTTTGTAAACGTCTAACGGCATTTTCATCATCAGCATTCTCATTATTGCTGGATATGGCATCAACCACCTCCTGATAAATGGTAATTACCAAACATGCATTGGGATCAGCCTGTCGACGTTGGGTAGATAAAAACAAGGCAGTCAGCTTTTCAAAAACAAACAAGGAAATATCCTGGTTATCGCTTTGTAGACAATTTATAAATGGTCTTGCAACCTGTCTGGCATTGGTGGAGATTTTAAAGTGTGGTGTCCATTTTTGTATTAAATCGCTTAGAGTTTTAGTAATATAGGGATCCGATTTGAAATTTAAGCGTCCAATACCCTGCACTAAGACAGGCCATATTTTGTGTACAAGTTGAGCTAGCTTGCCCTCGGGTGGTTTACCCATCTGTATGCTGGTGGGTAATATGTAACGTGTAAATGCCACATGGAAGAAGCAAGTTATTTTCGATTTGCTATAAACAATGGAGGGACAATTAAATATGACAATAGCAATGAAGCTATAAAATCGAAAAGTTACTTCCGATTTTTCCAATTTCAAATCGCTGTTTAACCATTTTTCAAAATTTCTGATATAGGCATTAAAATTATTGGCAATTGTTGAACGTTTGTTATAGTCTGTGGTGGCATCATATGTTTTACCCACCGAAGCAATGAATATACACAATGGTTCCTTTGCCTTCAAGAGATCATCTTCATCCTTGATATTTGTCATAAAGGCAAATTCTGATAATTTTACCACAATTTTCGAAAGCTTTAAAACATCTTCATTGTTGGCCGTCAATAGTACAAGACTTCTTAGCCACACCTGCATGATGATTGTGTGATCGACCAAGGCTTTCCGTTCTGATTCCAGCACCTGTAATACAAATTGTGTGACAGCATAACGATTGGAGGTCTGTTGTTCGCTGAAGTAGCTGAAGAGTTTTTGAAAATTTTGTGTGTCTGTTACAGCAAAGGAATGGGCACAAAAGTCCGAAGCTAAAATCGGCAGCCAGTGACTAAAACTATTTACATATTGCTGTTTGATAAATGGCAGTATCGAGGTGTTTAGCGCCCTCATCAGATCATTGTTGATTTCAAGAAAATGTTGTTCACAATTTTGTATTTTTACAAATATCATGTGCAGCGCTTCCAAGGTGCGTTCCTGCTCAACGGGTGTGCAATTATTCAAAAAATTCGGTATCCAGGAACCCACCAACAGGCTTTCGCCTCTTTGAAAGGTATCGGCATGGTCGAATATATCCAACAGACTATCGGCAATTATTTTTGACACTGCCAAATCATTGCGTATGGCGGATAATTGTTGTAATACCTTGTTTATATAGTCTGTCAAGTCGTATTGATGTTCAGCATACAGTATCCACAATGCCATGTGACCCTTGGTCACAGCCACTTGCTTGGGACCAGTTATTTTATCAAGGCCTATGGAGAGAAGTTTGTCTTTTAGCTTTCCCGACAGATCCTTGAAATCTCCGCACAAGGCCAATACCAGGAAAAGTTCTATCAAATGATGTATGCCCGTTTCATTGAGTGCCAAAAACTTTTGTGCACTAAACTTGGTGTAAATGCGGCCCAATAATTTCTGGGCCTGATGTTGGGCATGACCGGCTAACAATCTTTGCAAAGTTTTGCCCATTAGTAAAACAAATAATGTATAGCTGCTGAGATTAGCATCGGGGGGTTTAAACAAAAGGTTACGATACTTATCCACATAGGCCCGACCACTGACACAGGCCACAGCCAAATTCGATGGCGCCGAACCAGCAATGAAGAAAGATGAATTTAATTTCTTGTGAAAATGTTCCCACAACACCATTGCGATATTAACTTTTGGTGGCCACCATTCAAGTAAAATCGGCGTTTGTATGCCAATGTAAATGCGTAGCTGTTCCTCATTGGGATTTGCATTGAGAAATTGTTGAGTTATACGTTCACAAAAATCATAATTTTGGGCATTCTCGTTAGTTGCCCTGGTGTAATTGGCACCCTCATATTGGCCATTGGAACGATAACCATGTAGACGTACGAGAGCGTATTGTATCCAGTTGTAGAATTCGCAATAGCTAAGGGGGGTCAAGCCAAGATTTTCTGCGTTAAATTTAAATTCGATCAATTTTGTTATTCCATTCAAATAAAAAATATACAACTACTCACCCATATTACCCTTAATTTTTTGCATTGCCTTGTTAAATGTACTCCAGAAAGTCAATGCCTCCCCATCGGGAAACTTCAAATTCCATTTTTCTATGGCAAATTGCATGAGAAGCCAAATTTCTTTGATACAAGTACATGGGAATGGAGAGGTAAATAACAGTTCCGGACTACGTTTCTTTGCAAACAGATATATGGAACATGTCAAGAGGATGTCAAAGATATTTCCAATTTGTTCGATTAGAACATTACTAGTTGTGACCTTTTTCTCGGCATCAGCTGTACCATCAGTGTTATCCGGGTTTGATAAGTCGTATTTTTGTAAAATACATAAATCTAAAAATTTCCATTCCAAAAGTCCATGGAGTAAATGATATGCTGGAATATTACATTCGTTGCCCTTGCAGCTGTTGGCAAAATAAATACTCTTCAATACATCAACTTGCACGCAATTGTTGAGTAAAGCTCTAAGCCTACACAGGTGCGGTTGCAGAAATTCCCACTGCTCTGAATGGGTGCTTTGGAGAACAATGTGTAATAGCATTGTTACGTGGCGCCTTCTGAGATAGTAAGATTGTTCGTTCTGATTCCCAACAGCACCTTGCAAACTTGCCAACATATACTGGACGTTCATGCTGCAAAATCTGAATTATATTTTAAATTTGGAAAATGTATTGATTTTAGTTACCTACCATGCTTCTCCGAACAAATATGTATTAACTGCTCCACTATTCATATTTGCCTTTTGAAAATCATACTTCGTTAAAGTAGCCTCCTCAATAGCTTTATTTCGGGAATTAGAATAAGTTTGGAAAAATACATTCTTAACAAAACTTTCGCTGGAGAATTGAGAATTCATTGAGTCCTCTCCCGTGCAATGGAATTCAGGAATTGTCTCAGTAACACCGCCACAATCATTGGGGATTTGTGTGGGCTCAATATTAACGACGGACAAGATGTCATCATCTTCATCCGGTTCAAACAAATCAAAATCCATTTTTGAAGTAAGGTTTTGTGGTTAGCAATTTGTTTTATGTCGCGAAAGGTCCTGGGCAAAACTCAGCGCCACACATGTACTGTATTGTAAAGTTTTTAATAGGGAGTTGAAATACTGAAGCAAGCAAAATTTGAAAAAAAAATTATATCACATCGACTTTTTGTTCTCAATTTTCAGGTCACATTTCAGAAATTACTTAATTTTATTTAGTTGTCATTACATTTTTATATGTTTTATTGGACTTTGATAGAAATAATATGGTTTTTATTCAATATTTACGTCTGTTGTATCAATTCAACATATTCAAGACGATGGTTTGTTTTATAGCGGGAATGAAAACACAAAGCCGTGTTGTTGCCACGCCGTTCATCAATTAGGGATCTACAAGTCGATATTTAACATCAGGCAAATAAAATGTTAACTGGTACAATAACAGAAGGTTTCAAAGTCTGTCCTTTCCTGTCAAAAAATATATATATTGGTCTGTCCCAGAACTAGAGAGATGAACATTTTTACAAGTGCAGTTGTAAGATTTAGAAGATTTTCCAAAAGAATTTTAGTTTAATTTAATTTTTTGGTTCCCCTTCTATTAAACTTACAATCTCGTCACTTGGTTAAAAAAAAAATTTGTCATAGGAGTTATTTATAAAATAAATATAAATCCCAGAAAATATCCCAGACAAAAAAGGGGAACTGATGAGGATTGGTTCCTTCGTATTCCCTGCCTTACTCCCTGGTAAACATTACCATCTTTCTTCACAAATAAACGTTATTTTTATAAAAACAACAATAATAGGACGAAGCCTGACTATTTTGCAAACAAAAAAAAAAAAAATACTACGGTTTCCCGAACAGAAACGCCAATATTGTTCCTACATAGAAATTTTGTGAAAAAAATGTAAAATAAACAAAACCGATTATTGCACGCCTGTTCTTTGAAGTTGAGCCATGCCAGAAGGAACAAATTTTAATACCGATTTTTTCCTTATTGTTGCTCTGTTCATGCATTTGCTGGAACAAAGTAACCATAAAGGCGTAAGTACATAAAAAGCTTGAAGACATGGCTAAGCATATTTTGTGAAATTTCATAAAGGAATTACAAAGCCGCACTAAAATCCTGCCATCGTTTTCCATTATAATTTGACATTAATATGCCTAGCCATGATTTCAAGCTTTTTATGTACTTGCACCTTATGACTTTTGTACAGAGATTCATTCATCAGGAGCAGGATTTTTGTTCTATGTAAAAATGAAATGAAAAATTTTTCATTTGATGTTTCTTTACTTTCTAAAATTTTTCATATCACATTTTCATTGAATAAGAATTGAGCCCAGGACTTGGCGATTCACCCCCGCAATTTTAGGAATATCTGTTGTATTTAACCTGAAATTTAAACCTGTGCGAACTATCGTCTTAGCAACTAATTTTGACATACCAGATAAAAAAACTATTTGATCGTGGCAATTCGCCGTAACTTAATTGGTATTAAACTTTCGATTTGTAGATCTCTTCTTACTGTAATGGACGGCGTCACAACAACGCGGCTTTGTGTTCTCATTCCCGCTAAAAACATCTTTTGCAAACCATCATCTTGATCTTGTACAACAACAAATATAAACATTTTGTTGAATAAAAACCATATTTTTCTTAACAAAAACAATATAAAATGATACAAAAAATGTGAAGACAAAGAAATAAAATGAATTAGATTTTGACAAATGTCCAATTAATTGAAAAAAGAAAACCGATCTGACATACAGTGAATTTGTGAAAAACCACATAAGAGAAACAAACCCAAAAACTCATTGGTCCCCAGGAGAAAATAATGTTCGTTCAAGATCTTAGAGAATTTTATAGTCGCCTAATTGGCAAAAGGATTTTGATAATTGTCAACTATGACATTGATGCTATATGTGCCAGTAAAATTCTGCAGTCCCTTTTCAAATATGACCATATGCTCTATTCGGTGGTGCCCATAATGGGTTTGGCTGGCCTGCAGAGGGCCTACAACGAACACCAGGGCGATGTTAAATTTGTGTTGTTATTAAACTGTGGAGGATGTGTTGACATTGTGGAGCTGCTGCAGCCCGAAGAAGATGTAACATTCTTTATCTGTGATTCGCATCGTCCCTTGGATGTGTGTAATATATACAGTGATCGCCAGGTGAGAATTCGCAAAAGCGTGTTTGTGTGTGGGGCGCGTTGAGTGTATTGAGGTTTTTTGCTGTTGTAATAGTTCTGTAGGGAAATGAATATTTTCTTCTTTTGTTTCTATGTGAGTTGCGAATACATGCTTTTTTAATTGTTTTACCTCTGCCTCGGTCCAAGTTTACTTTCCCCCAAAAAGGTTAAATTTAGTAGATATTCTATATGATTTTATTTTTTTTTTTACTTTTATCTAATGGTTCTATTTCCGTTTTCTAGGTATGCATTTTGGGTGATCCATCCGCCGAAGAAAACATACCACCATTTGAATCAATTTTCTGTGAATCCGAAGATGAGGACGAAGAAGATGACGATGAAGACGAAGATGAAATCAATGATAGTGGTGCGGGAGAATCTGATGCTGAAAACGAAGACGGCAACAATCGTGCCGAACGTCCTAAGAAACTTAGCCGTATGGAAAAACATGAACAGCGCATATTAAAACAACGCCAACGCCGTGCCTGGGAAAATGAACGTGATCGCATAATGTTTGAATATACCCAATACAGTTTCTATGGTCGTTCATCGGCCTTGGCCATATTCGAATTGGCTTGGAAACTGTCCAAAGACAACATGGACTTACTGTGGTGGGCCATTGTTGGCATAACCGAACAATTGATATTGGGAAAAATTGAAAGTAGTGCCTATACGCTGGAAATAGACAACATACAGTCACATGTTTCGCGTTTAACCAACAAAGTCAATGATCAAAGCAATATGAGCGCCTCGAAAATAAACTTTGAGAATGATTTGCATTTGGTTTTGTATCGTCATTGGAGTGTTACGGAATCGATGCGTTATTCAATGTATGTGGCTTGCAAGCTTAAATTGTGGACATTGAAGGGAGAAAAGAAATTGCACGAATTGTTGGTTGAAATGGGCTTACCGTTGATACATGCCCGACAAACATTTAGTTCCATGGATTTGGTATTACGACAAGAATTCTACTCCATGGTGGATGGGTTGGCAGAAAAATATGGCATACCAGATGTTATTTATGGCTCATTTACCCTACATTATGGTTATCGTAATCGTTATTCGGCAGCCGATTATGTGTATGCTTTGTTGTCTATATTGGAGTCCGTGAAAAAGGATAAGACACCAGAAGACTGTTTTCTAGAGGCCCTGGACGGCTTGGGTCGCAATCACAAGGATATTCTGAATGCTGGCATTGAGGGTTCCAAGCAGTTGCATCAAGCCATATTTAAACAAGTACAAAGTAGTTTAGAGGCGCATCAAGTCCATTCGACAGGATCATTTTTCTATTACATACTCAACGAGGAAAATACATTCTTCTCCTATCCCTATGGTTTGTCAATGCTGGCCAAATTTCTCTTGCATGGTCATGTGGCTGTGTCACGTAGTCGCCAGGCCCCCGACTTACCCCTGATAGCCAGCTGTCCCATTGATGCAGAACATGGTCTGTGCCTATTGGTTGGTATACCACCGGTACGAGAGGATTCACCAAAGAATTTCTTTGGCAAGGCATTTGAACAGGCGGCCCAGAAATGTAATGCCGCCATTTTACAGGATCATTTTGAATCGTCCCTCATACAGATAAGGCAAAACGATTTAACAAGATTTCTAGATGCGTTGACCGTGCTGCTAACATAGTTTCGAATTAAGTTTGCTATATTTTTTTAGTCGATGATTAAGGATAGGATATAATTATGTTATTGTTTTTGGCTTGAGCTTCTAAACCTAGTTGTTAGATATTTATGTATTCCATTTTCTTCATGTGTCTTAAGCAAAAATTTACATAGACTTAACAATAATTAATATTTAAATATAATTTAAGTGTTGGTCTGTTATATATCAATGTGTTAGGACTCTGAAACTATTACTCTTTTTTAGGTTTACAAAAACAAAATTAAAAAAAGATTTGAATAATTTTAGTTTAAACGAATTGTACTACGATCAGACAGACAGACACATGCTATATTAAAAAAAAGATAAATTGTTCAAATATTTAGGACTCCAATTTACAAAAGAAAAAATACAAAATATAACAAATTAGGGTTTAAGTTTTATTAATGTTAAAAAAAAAACAAAATATTATTTTCACACATCAACAAAATACACCAAAACACATGTTTACAAATATCATTATCTCATCAGAATTTTTGTTTTTTTTTATTTTCAACAATTGTCCTTGGACTATCTGGAAAGATATGGGACATGGAATTTGCTATTTTCAAGGAGAGCAAGTCGTTCTAAAAAGGAGCATTTTTAGGCAAGTAGGAAATATACTTGTCGTCTGATGTCAATCAAATTTTTTGCCAAATATTCTGTTTATACAGGGTGAGATACAAAAAAACTGCAACAAAGTCAAACGCCATAATTTTTACATTTTTTTTGTTAAACTTTATTGAATGAAAGCAAAAAATGTCGGAAATAGCATCAAATTTTAGAATAAGTTTAGGTTTGTTCGAATTGGTCACCTTTGGCACGAATTATGGCCTTCAAACGGCCAATGAAACCGCGTCACACGCTGCCCGAATGTTTTTCTGCGGTATTTTGGCACATTTCCGGGGAAGCGCTTGCTTGAGGTGATCGACACTTTGGTATTTGGTTTAGTGCCAACCTTGCTTTCCAAAATACTCCAGACACAATAGTCCAACGGATTGGTATCCGTAGATTTTGGTGGCCATTGTGCGCTGTAAACATTCTTGGGTGGCGTGTGCTGAGTCCAGTTGAAATGCGCCCAAGACTTTAATACACCCTCCAGAATATTTTCGTAATAATATTCGGCATTTATTCTGATGCCACGGTCGATTAATACGAGCGGAGAGCCACCATCGGCTGTTATGGCGGCCCCCACCATCAAAATGAGCGGCGCTTGAGTCTGGTGGCCAACCGAAGGTGCACATTTTCAGCTGACTTCAGCGCAGCAACTCTTTAGCTCTTTTGAGTCTATTTTTTTCTGTTGCGGCATAAGTTCTAGCACTTTTTGAAATTTCAATGGCTTTACCCCGAGCTCATTTTTTAATATTTCCCGATCAAGTAGCTTCTTTACTTTTCGAACCATTTTTCGTCAACTTCCTTGTCGGTCGAGTGGCTTAGAAATGACAGCAGTCTGAATATGGTTGCAGTTTTTGTCATCTCAACCTGTAATAGGCAATAAGATATTCCATCGAGCTGTTTTTAACAATTTATGGGCTTACCAATTTCTGCAGACATCAAACTATTACAAAATTATTCATTTTTGAACCTTGAAAAAAACAAAAAACAACAAAAATTTTATCTCAAAAAATAATATTCGGTTTAGTTTGAATATTGTGTAAACAAAAACAATTTTTTTAAAATTAGTCTAATTTATTTATTTTTAAAATTTTAACAACAGCCTCCTCCAGCCTGTGTCATGAATTTTCCAAAATATTTTTTAAATTTTCCACCCGTTTGTGGTCACTATTGTTTATGGCCTCCACAATTCGCGAAGAACCCAAACATTCGGTATCACTATAGAACACAGCATATTGTCCGGGTGTGACAGCTCTCAAAGGTTTGTCTAGCATTACGATAACATCAGTCTTATTATTAGGCGATTTTCTATAAATCGTACAATCCACCAGAGGTTTTGTGTGTTGAAAACGAAATCTACACCGCAGCGGTGGAGAATTCGACTTGACAAAAGGATTTTCGGAACACAACCAATTAATGTTAGTGGCAAAAATTTGATTCGAATAAAGGCTAGGATGTTCATGGCCATAGGCAACATAAATTGTGTTGGTTGTCACGTCTTTTTGGGCTACATAATAGGGTTTTCGAAACGATTTTAAACGGCAACGTTGACCCACTGTCCATTGGTGTATGCCCTCGTGATGACCCACCACCATATTGCTATCAATATCCACAAAATCTCCGGGCTTTGAGGCAATGTACTGCAACGAAATAATAATAAATCATGAAAGGTAATAGAATACAGGGTGAGATGAAAAAACTGCAACCAACTTCAGACTGCTGTCATTTCTAAGTCACTAGTCCGACAGGTGTTAAAATTATGCCAGTGACAGCTCATTATATTGTTTACAAGCGTACAAAAGCAAATGAATTTTGGTGAGAATTTTCCAGAAAAAAGGTTATTCGTGATGGAATTCAAGCGTGATAGTGTGATTTCTTTATATTTTTGGCTGGAAAACCACCAAAAGTGGCTATCGTTAGAGCACTCCAGCATTTAAATCTTTTGTGTCTCGTACCATCTCTCGTTACCGTGATACTGGTAGCGTAGCTCGACGACGTCAAGGAAGTGAATGGAAGAAAGCAGCAACATCTGCAGAAATGGTTTGAAAAGTAAAGAAGCGACTTGAAAGAAATCGGCGTCGCAGTGGCCAAAAAATGGCTCGTGAGCTGAACATATCGCAATTTTCCATTCGGCAAATATTGAAAAATGAGCTCGGCGTAAAGTCATTGAAATTCCAAAAAGTGCAAGAACTTAAACCGCTACGGAAGGAAAATAGTCACAAAAGAGTTGCTTCGCTTGACCGAAAGTGGTGATCTACAGAATTTGGTTTTTTCCGATGAGAAAACATTCATAATTCTCCAAGAATTTCGGAGGTCAGCTGAAAATGTGCACCGTTGTTTGGCCACCAGAACTCAAGCGCCGGCCATGGTGATGGTGTGGGCCACCATAACAGTCGATGGTCGCTCTCCGTTCATAATAATCGAGCGTGGCATCAAAAATAAATGCCGAATATTATCGCGAAAATATTCTGGAGGGTATATTAATGCCTTGCGCACGCAAACATTTTGGCCCCAGACCTTGGACATTCCAACAGGACTCAGCACCATAGCACTCAGCACACGCCACCCAAGAATGGTTACAAAATCAGGTTGCTCGCCTTATTTCCAGCGCACATTGGCCACCAAAATCTACGGATACCTATCCGCTGGACTATCTGAAGTGTTTTGGAATGCAAGGTTGGCCATAAAAAATACCAAAGTATCGATCACCTCAAGCAGGCGCTTCGCCGGTAATGGGTCAAAATACCGCAGAACAACATTCGGGCAGCGTGCGCGGTTTCATTGGCCGTTTAAAGGCTATAATTCGTGCCAAAGTTAAACAATTCGAAAAAATCTAAACTTATTCTAAAATTTGATGCTATTTTCGAGATTTTTTGCTTTCATTCAATTAAATTTAAAAAAATGTAAAAATTATGTCCTTTGACTTTGTTGCAGTTTTTTTTATCTCACCCTGCATAATTCCCAATTTGATGAGGAAAATTCCAATAATCCATGATCCTAATCGAAATATTTCTATTTTTACCTCCTTGATAAATTCCTTAAAATCGCGATTACCCACAAAACAAATGCCTGTACTTTCTCTTTTCTGTGTCAATCTTTCCAGGCCACAGTTTTTGGCTATTTCCTTGACTTCAGACTTCAAATAGTTTCCCAGGGGAAACATAGTCCTCCTTAAAGTTTCGCGCCGAATACCCGAAAGGAAGAATGTTTGATCTTTAAATGTATCCTTCGGTATGAGTAGATGGACATCTAAGAAAAAAGTTTTTAGAATATATGAAATTGGTAGCTGATTCATATTTCAACGAACCTTCACTTTCTTCATAATTCTCCAGAAAAGGACCAAAATTTGTCTTGGCATAATGTCCAGTGGCAATGGCATCATATCCCAGTCGCTCCAAAGCATGTTTATGGAATAAATCAAATTTTATGTGTTTATTACACAAAATGTCCGGATTGGGGGTCAAGCCGCGTTCATAGTCTTCCAAGAAGTTACTTAATTTACCAAGAAAGAAAACCCACATTAAAATCTTCGAGTGCCCAATTTCCACTTCATATACTTACGTAAACACTGAATTCCAATACTCTTTCACATAGTTCACCTGTCGCAGTTCAATACCCAACTTGTTGCAGGTATATTCAGCATCTAATAGATCTTGCTCGCCCGAACATCTTCCCATTTCATCAAATTCATCCCAGTTTTTCATAAAGACTCCCAGTACCTTGTAACCTGAAAGTTAAATGTGACCAAGATGAAACTAGTATGTCCTCAACCTAGAAAGGTAAGTTGTAATATGATGTATCAATGAAAGAATGCAGATTACCACTTATCCTGGCATCTATTACCATTTTCCTTTAAAAGGAAGGCACTGACTGCACTGTCAACGCCACCTGATATGCCCACTACGACTTTCTTGAACATTGTCGGTTGTCCGGCCTCCAATAAGAAAAGAGAAAACAAAAAGAAAGAGGTAACGCATGATAAAGACAAATAATCAAAACAAAACTAATAATAACTTGGTGAATGTGAGTGGATGATTAGCACGCATTTTTGAAGTTGAAGAGATATCAGTTATTATTCTAAGATTATTTTAATTTTTTTTTTTTTTCAAAATTTTTAAAAATCCTCCTTTAAATTGTCTTAACAAATCCAAGATTTCGTTCAGGGGGCTCTTTAAAATATTATTATTTATTATCAGTTTTTATTTACGATTGTGATGGTTGGTAGGGTTTTAGTGATCGCATATTGGAAAGTATCGTTTTTGATTTGTAGAGCCCTATAGTCACTCAGGGTTGGGTGTGTCACATTATCGTTATGGTGGTCATTCCAATAAGAAAAATTTACAAAATGAAATTGCTCGATAAACGAAAATAATCAAAACAACCATAACGATTATTAAAGGGGTTTAGAAACAACAGGCAAAATGTAAACAAGGAACATATGATTGAACAACTGTTTAAATGAGTGATTCCTTTAATACGATGTAAAAGTTGGAACATTTGGCAAAGTTCGAAGGCAACGGAAATATAGGAACAATTTTTAACACAAAGCCGAATATCGGTTTTCGTTGCACATTTGAATACATTTAGTGAGTGGGACTCAGGATTATGAGAGAGTAAAAGTGAGAATACATAAAACGCTTTTTTGACGGACTTAAGTCAGCCAGATACGCTCTTTATGTATTCCCACCTTTAGACCAGTCAACAAAGCTTTTTATGTACTCTCGCCTTAAGGATAGTTCTATTTAGTCTGTTCAAAAACATTAACTGCAAGGTAGCCCACAGAAATCACTCAAATAGCGTTTTTACGAATTGTTTGATATGATATGGTAGATCTAATATATCTTGCATGGTAGAAGCATACAGGTAGTCGCATCGACAC